TGTTGGAGCATGCATTGGCATTATGAGCCTTATATGTCGTGCATGAATGTAAAGCTCGCAACTTTACATGCTATTCGAGCCTTAAGAGGATAGATCTGGGGTGTGGGGTGGTAGATCTGCTTAGAATCGTCTGAATGAGGATTGAGTTTGCATGGACTCGCCGAGTCGATGAGCCGACTTGACGAGTCAGTTAGGGTTTGTCCCGATGAGCTTGATCAAGCGATAACTCGGCGAATTGGGGGTCAACTCGACGAGTTAAGCTGGACCTTCACGAGACTTCTGAGGAAAAGAGTGGACTCGACGAGTCACATAGGTGCACTCGGCGAGTCGGGTCAAACATGGACTGTTGACTCGAGTTGACTTCTGTTGACTTTAGGGTTTGGTCAAACATGAGTAATGGAGACCATGGAAGGGTAAAATGGTCTTTTACCCACTTCAAAAGTTAGAAAGAGGAAGAACAACCTTTGGTTTACTTAGAGTCGAGAATCGAGTATTTATTGAGATATTTACCCTATGTGTTAGGCGGTGGCTAGTTCGAGATTCGAGTTCAAGGATAATTGCCTGCTTGCTTGCAAGGTGAGTCTTCTCACTATACATGCCTAGAGTGGTAACCAGAGTTGTGTGATAGAGTATCTTATATGTTATTTGTGCACTGTGATATACTGCATTATTTCTATGTGATTATTGTTATGTATTATTCAGAGTTTACAGAGTTAGGACCAGAGGGTCCACAGAGTTAGGACCAGAGGGTCCACAGAGTTAGGACCGGAGGGTCCATCAGAGTTGTGGGAATGGAGGGTCCCACTGAGACACATTGACCAGAGGGTCTTACAGAGTTATAGCATCGAGTGGCTAATATGTTGTATGTGGTATTTTGGGGAACTCACTAAGCTTCGTGCTTACCGTGTTATGTGTTATGTGTTTCAGGTTTTCTCAGGATCGCGGGAAGGCACCGGCTTGATTGTACACACCAGTGCTTATACCTTTTTGCGTAAGGTACAAAAATGGTCACATAATGGATGGAATTTATAAGCAATGATTTAAACGATAGAATAAAGCAATAAGTAAATGATTGATTAAATGAAGTAGATTCAAGATTTGTAAGGTCTCCAACTCTATGCAAGAGAATTTAGCAATGTGATTCCAAGGGTGAAATGATTTCTACTCAATTCCACCTAAGTTGGTACTTGAAAGTGTTAACAAGTTCTAACACTTCCCATTCACCAAGTTGTCAAATTCAAAACAAGCTCTTTGAAAATAACCTAACCTTCTAATTTAAGTCTAAACAAGCTCTTAGATAGAAATCAAAAGGTTGTAATAAGATTTATGTGAATGTTCCCAACAACACCCAATACTCCTCACAAGCTCGGGAGTGTAAGAGTATGTGAATAAGATTTACACTAAATTCATTCAATGGAAATCAATTTAGTGTTTGTTACTTAGTCCAATTCACAAAACAATTACGGATTTTGCAATTAGATAACTTGAATGACCTAACCCTAATTCAAATGGCCAATAAGAGTCACAATTAGAATTAAACATTCAATTGAAACAAAATCAAATTCACTAGGTAGGAATTGGAAGCAAACATCAAATCACATGATTGAAATCACAACTAAAAAGTCAAGACATGAAGTTGGAGAAACTAGGGTTCTAGCCACTCATGACTAGAACAAGATCACAAATCTAGAAAATGAAATTAAAGTTCTTACAACGTGAAATCAAATGTTCCCAAGTGTTAACCAACTCCAAAATCCTCAAGAAAATCGCCTTCTCTGCTCCAAAAGCCGACCCCCCCTTAAAAAATTGGTTCCCCCCTTTAAAAATGGTGAAAAACTGCTTTAAAACCCGCATTTACGTTTACACGGCCCGCGTAAATTAACATTGTCGTTTATGCGCCCGCGTAAACGCAAAAATACACTGCGCAGAAATCTACGTTTACACGGGCGTGTAAACGCAAGGCTTCCATTTACACGACCGTGTAAATCTCTATAAAGCCAAAATCTTCATTTCTTTGATATCTTGCTCCTCGGTGCTCCGCAAGTCTCGAAATTTTGTCCGCAACTCTTATTTACCTCCTCCAACAATATCCTACCTCCAAAAGTCCCTGAAATATCACAAAAATGTGTGAATGAAATTGCCTCATGAAAAATCCCGAAAAACATGCAAAATGCATGAGTTTAAACCTAAATGCAATGCACTTTTATGGAGTAAAACTACAAAATGGATGCATGAAAATGCATCTAACAAGTTGCGATTTGTAAATTAAATAAATGAGATTTTTGTGAAATATGTTATGAGAAATATGCGATTTTAAATGAAAAATTTATTTGAAAGTTTATGGTGTTACAATAATGGATAAAGTTTCCAACTTTATCCGTTAGGATGGTCCAAACAACCAAGATCTAGACTTTAAGTCACAAAGGGACCAAAAATGCATCTTTCTTAACTTAATCCATTAAGTCGAAGTCTCTAACATTTAGATCTGAATCAACATGATGTTTAGATTGATAAATTTTCCAACTTTATCCATAATAATGCCACAAACTTTCAAGATCTAAACATGAACATCAAAAGGGCTCAAAATACAACCTACTTTGCATGGCCAAGAGAACAAGCTCCAAGATGCCAACTTTCTTAATATAAATGGTCAAAATAGCAACTCTAGATGCTTAGAAGGAGATGGAGTCATTACCACTCTAAGCTTACCACCAAAATTGGACAAAAAACAAAAAAATGAACCCATAGCTAGATCTATCATATGAGAAGGAAAGGTTGAAGCTTTTTACTTACAAATATCCAAAAAAAGGTATGAACTTTATGGATCCTAGCTTGAAACAACATCCCTTGAAACCAACTAGACTTTCTTGATCACCAATCTTCATCAAATCACCACCAAAATGCACCAAAAAATGGATCAAGGAGAGAGGATAAGTTCATTTTACTCAAAGGAGGTTAGGGTTTCACTCAATGAATGATCTAGTGGTGTTGGAGGTTGAAAAGGATCAAATCTTAAGAGTTAATGGATTTTATATACCTTAAAACCCAAAAAAACGCGCAACCCACTCGGCCGGGGGAGCCCTGTGCTTTTAAAGGGCGCTCCGCGCTTTCCGATAAATTCCTGATTTTCCGGTTTTCAACTTCAGCTTCAAACGATCATAACTTTTTTGTTCTAACTATGCCTTTATTGATCTTTATATGCACAGATGGTATTGGCAAGCCCCATGATTCTATCTACTTACTTTTGGCTTAAAGCATACATAAAACAATTTATTAATACACACAAAAGTATAGAATATTACTTTTCCCATGTTACCCCTTTGACTTTAACGCACAATTCAAGGGCTTAAATCACTTAACCAACATTGTCAACACCTAATAAGATCTAAACTTTATTCCTTTGAAGCCCAAGACCTTTACCCGGTCAAATCACGATCCACTATCCTGAAATCAGGAACATTCGAAACTGGATGTTACAGAACAAGATAAATGTTATGTCACAAAAACAACTAATAACCTCTATAAAAAAATGAATAGTCGGGTAAATCTGAAAAACAACTGAAAATATAAGAATTTTTCTACATATAAACAAAATATAAAGTTTCTTTCTGAATGTTGGCTAATAAATGATTGTGTTTTTATTTATTTCTCCATACATAACTAAATATTTTAGTTTGTATTTTTTTATCTAAAAAAAAAAATTATAAAAACATCAATTTCTTGCTTTTAAATTTTTACATGATGTAATTTTAAGATTTATTTTTATTTATCTTATATAAATATATTTATTTTTACAAAAAATATGATGTTTTATTATTAAAAAAATATGTTATTAATAATAATATGCTGTTATTTTATTTAAGAAAATATAAGTATGCAATTTTGAGTTAAAGATAAAAATATGTTTTAGTTTTGATTTTATAAAATATAAGCACGATAAATTTTACATTGGTTCAATATAAAACTTTGATATTTAGCTTTAAAAATTATTTAGTTTTATCAAATTATGAATATGTTCTTTAATAAGACATAAATGTTTCAAAGCAAAATTAAAAAATGTTTGTTAGCTAATAATTAACTAGGTTGCTACACATGCTAAGATAATTAACCATATGATTAATATGACATGAACTTCGTTCAATTCATTTTATTTAATGGTTAATTATTTTAGCATGTGTAGCAACATAGTTAATTATTGACTAACACATGTTTTTTAATTTTGCTTTGAAAAGTTTATGTATTTACCAAGGAATATATTTAAAATTTAATAAAACTAAATAATTTTTTAAAATAAAATATCAAAAGTTCATACGATATAAAATTTACAGTACTTATATTATAAAATCAAAACCGAAATATATTTTTATCTTTAACTCAAAAATTCATATTTATATTTTTAAATAAAATAGCACATAATATTATTTCTATAATATTTTTTTTATAATAACACATCATATTTTCTCATAAAAATAAATATATTTATATAAGAAAAATGAAGATAAATCTTAAAAATCACATCATACAAAAATTAAAAAGTAATAAAATAATGTTTTTATACTTTAATTTTTTTTAGATAAAAAATATAAAACGTCAATATTTAATTATGTTTTATAGTTTGATTATTTTAGATAAAGTCTAGACAACAAAAATTATATATATATATATATATATATATATATATTTGCATGATGATTATAATTTATAAGTTTTAATTTTTTATTAATATAAATTTTACATTTCATGTAAAAACAAATATATTTCATAAAAAGATTTCATGGAAAACAATGTTGTAAAAAATTAATGTATAAAATCCTAACTTTTAAAAATTATATAATAAAAAAGTTTTCAAAATTTTTAAAAAAATATCAAGTTTAACAAAATGACAAAAATAATCTTTATCTAAAATAATTTCGACTTAATGTATTTATCGCATTGATATTCATGATAAATACCATTTATATGCAAAGCTCCGTAGACGTTATCATCTTAAAAAAAAGGTTTCATAAAAACTATTTTAAAGACAAACATAAAAGCTTAAGAACGAAATTTTGTTTCTATTTATTACGTCTTAACAATTAACAATTAATCCAGCACCAAAAAAATACTACATATCTTTTCTTTTTTCCTATGAATTTCTCTTCGAGCTCAAATTATTAATTTCCGTCAATATCCCGGATTCCCGGGTATATAAACTATACAGTCATAGCAGGTGACATAGAGGGGAAACAAAGATGATTATTCCTGTTCGTTGTTTCACTTGCGGCAAGGTAAACCCTAAAACCCTAATTCTCGAATAATCATCTGTATTTCTTTTCCGATTAACATAAAGTGAATCATGTTTTTGTTCGTATGTTTAATGTTTCGTAACTTCTTTCGAGGACCTAATTTCATCGACAAATTTGTGTGTTTTGTTAGGTCATTGGAAACAAATGGGACACGTATCTTGATCTTCTCCAGTCTGATTACACGGAAGGGTGAGGAATTCTCGATGCCTTTTTTTTTCTATATATATCGAATGATTGGCCTTGTAAGAACTGCAATTACTTTGCTGATTGCAATTATAGCCCTGTTAGTGATAGATTCAAGATTTTGAATATACAGAGAATATTGGTATTTACAGCATTTTACAATTTTCGACTCTGTATATTTGCCCCTTTTCTGAAAGCTGGAATCTAAAGCTGGACACACTAATATCAACTTCTAAATTGATAAAATTACAGAAATCTGATGAAGAAATTTTGTTAAGAAGCACAGTAAACTTTGTAACTTCTCTCCTATGGACGCATATGCATACTCTTTTTTCTTATCTTACTTTTTCCTTCATGACTAATTTGATTGTAGAACTTACATGGACTTTAACAGCAGATTGTAACATTTCTTAACTTTTCATATCATGGTGCTAAATCCTTCTGTTTATAACTTTTCACCATTATTGGCTGTGTTCATAAGAACTTTGATTCATTTATAATTTATGGTCTTTTTTTTTCTGTTGACTCATGCAGAGATGCTCTTGATGCTTTGGGACTTGTCCGTTATTGTTGCAGAAGAATGCTAATGACTCATGTTGATCTCATCGAGAAGCTTCTGAACTACAACAGTAACCTCACTCCCTTTTTCTATATCAAAAATTCTTTTCCACATTACATATGAAGTGATTATTATATTTAAAGCCATAATTAATCCAGTAAATTTAGGAACAGCCATTGTTTCTTTTTTGCTCTTACACTAACAAAGGTGGCATTCTGTTGCAGCATTGGAGAAATCTGATACGAGCTGAGGCCTTGTGAAGAATGTTTTGGATAAACCTAAATAGCTTCCCTAATGTATGATAAATTGTATTGATTAAACAAAATGGATTGATGTTTGGGTTGTGTTCGTCTACTGTGGGAATATTATTTTGGTTTGAAGGATTTGTAAACTTGTATCTTTTTACAAGGGTTGTAGATCCATTTGAAGAGCATTGTGTTGTAGTTTATAGCTGCATTTATTTGGATATTTGCCTTTGATCATTTCTAAATGGGTGACGAAGTGATATATTAGTGGGCTATTGCTTCGTAAGGATGTTTTGGAAGGAGTAGGAATCTGTCAAATAGAACTGGAATTTGTAGGGTTTGGTATCTTAATCACAAGGAACGTTCTGAATCAGTCGCACATTTTAGATACATACCATTTTCATAGCATCTTTACCTTACTTATCTTAAAAAATCGCCGACTTAACACTTCTTAAGACATCATGTTTTGAAAACACAACTTAAGTAAAAATAAGAATTTTGAAAACACGTTTAGTCAATCATGTTTCAAAATAAACATTTGAACACTTCTTCAGAAATCACCCTTTAGATCATATCATCTTTAATATATGCTAACGCTATATACACAACTTAAGTAACACCTTCCTTAAATACACACTCGGGAAAAAGATATTGGTGCATTTAGTTATGGAAAAATGAGGCGTTTTTAGGAAAAAATTTCTAAGAAAAATAAGAATTTTGAAATCACGTTTAGTTCAATGATTTTTTTAAAAATTTCACAGAAAATGAAATTTTTCCGAAAATACAAAGAACTTAGAAAATTTTAAAGAACTAATAATTATTATTTTTCACATTTTTTTAATTCAATTTTAAAAAAAAAATATAAATACACAACCACCCTCACGCCACCCCTCCTACCCCACCCCAACCCTGCAAACACACACCCACACCCACCACCACCACTACCGTAATCACTGACCCATCACCACCTTCATCGCGACCATTGCCATTGTCACCACTACTGCCATCACCACGACCATCGTTGCCATTATCGTTGCCCCCACCAACACTGCACTACAAACCCCACCCCCATGATTTCTTATGTTGGTGATCCACAAGTCAACTGAACCACCCTCTTAACCCATTTTAATTTGGATACCCATGACCACAAAGTCATCTTAGTTATAATCACATATGAATGGATGCAACATGTACATGTTTTTTTGCACCATATTAATTAACCCTTTGAACCAACACAATTAAAACACACCTCGTCTTAAGTTCTAAATAACACTCAGTTGTCTATCATTGTTCTCTAAAACCAAAAAATTAAAGTCACACCTCTTTATTTCACAAAACACTTATTTGTCTCTAAAACAAAGCAATTAAAGACACACACATGTTTTTTTGTTGGAAACAACAAATATATTAAAAACCTTACCTAGCTAGATACTAGGCGAAAACAGGTACAAAGAAAGTAAAGCAAATACATATTAAAAGTATTAGCGGATACAATCAGATGCTAAGGAAAAGGCATGAACTCCAATCACTCCATCTAAATACTTATGAATTACACTGTGGTTTTGAACCACAGGAACACTGTAGATTTAACGAGGTCAACCACTTTAGTAGGGGAATCTGGATTTGTTGAAAATTCGATCATTTCACACATTCCAAACATCCCATAATATGCCATAACAAATTCCCAACAAGATGTTCTTTTGTTTTGGATAATTTCCCTAATTAGACGCAAACTTTAGGATCTCCTTAACCTTGCTGAAATCGACATTCACCACTATCCCACACCATCTAAGAATCCATACCCAAATTGTTTTCGCATATGGGCAGTCACAAAACAGGTGATCTATGTTTTCTTCTTCATTCTCACAAAAAAACACGTGCAATCGATTCAATGTTTACTCTCCTATTTTTAAGTGTAGCATCCGACATGATCTTATCCAAAAACGCTCTCAAAAAAAAACATGCTACCTAGGCAGGGACAAACGCATGAATTGACAGTAGGTGTTGCCGAATTTTTTTTCCGGTCAAACATAATATAAAACCAAAAAATAATTCATTACGTCTAATACAAATAAGTGATCCATTACATAAAAGTTAAAAACATAACAACGATCTATCATCTATTATAATTTAAATTTGTCCTCTTCATGCATACATCTTTTGAAACTGTTCAATTACCTTGTCATTCTCAACTTTCACAAGTACTTCGGTCTCAACATAGCAAAGCAATGCGTCGTTCAAAAACTCATCGCCAATTTTGTTATGCAAGTCGGTCTTCAAGAGCTTCATCTTCGAAAAACATCTTTCTACACTTGCGATCGCTACGGGTAATATCAAAGCCAACTTTAAAAGCTTATAAACCAAAGGATAAGACCGATGTTTCCCCGTACTAACCATTAATCGAGAAAGCTCGGAAATTCCTTTCAAAGTGGTAAAACGCTCATCTTTGATGCAAGAGTGATAAAATATCTCAAGTTGTCCTTCAAGGTCTATCAAACCCGAATCATCAAAGTCATACTTGTACAACTTAGCCAACTTCAACAACTTTGATTTGTCAATTGTGCAAATGAATCGGAATGGATCAAAGCACCCATGTATTCTAGTAACTGTGTGCTTGTTTCACTAAATCGATCCCGATATTCTGTAAGTTGAATATCCACCACCGTGTTGAAGATTTCAACCTCAAAATGGAATCTATTGGTCTTTATGGTCGTACGGTTTCTAGCACCAACATAAAAATCCTCCATTTCCAAAGTGGCAATATTGTGTGTCTGACAAAAAGAGGATATCTTTGGCAAAATGCTAGCAAACCTCGTGTCTCTTAAAGATTGCAATGCATCCATTGTCCCTCTAACCATCGAAGCCGCTTCTAAAATTTCTAGATCTATATTTTTTGAAGTTGCTTTGATAATGTACCCGTGAGACGTAAAATGTCATACATCATATATAACTAAAACACGAACTCATAAGATTTAAAATATACAAAGATTCCGGACGCTTGTTGACGGTTTTCCAATGACCCTCCATCCACTTTCACAATTTCTAAAACTACAAGAACATCCGCAAACAACTTCATCAAACTTGTGAGTGTGTTGAAATGTGAACCCCATCTTGTATCTCCTGCTCGAACAAGTGTAGTCTATTGATTTAACCCTCTTCCCGTTCAAGTTCACCTCTACACAAGACTTTTTGCACCCTTTCTTTTGCTTGTTCCCGTAGTAAGTCTTTTCTTTTACACGAGGCACAAACAACATTAACCACCAAGGACATTTGCTCAAAAAAGCCACTAACACCATCATGCTTCTTTGCTACAGCTACAACCACTAATTGAAGCTGGTGTGCAAAGCAATGTACATAAAAAGTTGTGTCATTCTCTTGTAATATCAAATCTTTCAAACCATTGAATTCCCCTCGCATATTGCTAACCTCATCATAACCTTGTCCTCTTATCTATTAAAAAAATTATATATATATATATATATATATATAATATATATATATATATAACACATAAAGCTAATTAAATGAAATTGAAGTAACAAAAAAGTAAAGAATAAATTACATGACTACTACTCAATGTATTACTTGTAAATACTTCATTTATGGCGTTTTCGAGTGTCAAAGATGATGTATCATTCACGTACACAACTCCAATGAATCTTTCCTTCACAAAGCCAAGACTATCGACATATCGCAAAACAATAGCCATTTGTTCCTTTTTTGATACATCATTAGATTCATCAACCAATAAAGTGAATACATCTCGACCAATCTCTTGACGAATACTCAAAAGTACTTCTTGTGCAAAACATTGCACAAGTTCTTTTTGAATTTTAGGGAAAATAAGTTGATTGTTTTTAGGAGCATTTTCTAAAGTATTGTTTTTAGGGAAAATGTCTTCACTAGTCTCTCGAATGGCTTTTAACACTTCAATGTAAAACCCTTTATTTTCCGAGTTAACTGAATCGTCATTACCACGAAACGGTAATCTGGTTTTCAATAAAAGTCTAACAACAATAATAGAAACACGTAATTGCGCTTTATATTTATGGTCCTCCGCTTCGGTTTGCCTCCTCAAGACTACATTAATAGCTTGTTTTTCTCTCAATAAAAAATCACAGTTTTCTCTTGCTTTGTTGTGAATACTATCACCATTACCCACATGAGTCCGAAATGCATTTTGTTTATTCCAAGTATCAAAACCTTGGGAAAAAATGCATATCTCCCTCCTTTTTGTCCCATGAGGTCTCTACACACATAACAATATAAACAATATGTTTTTTTTTTCTTTTTCATACTATATTCTAACCAATCAAAATCGTTAAACTATGAAGGAACGAAGCTTCTTAATCTATCACCTATTTTCATTTTGGAAATTTATGTATCCTTATTTGACAAGGTTCTTGAAGAAAATATGCCATTCTTACATCATCTCTTATATTTGAGGCATAACTTGTAATCTTTGGCCTATCCGTCGGGTCCTTCGGAAGATCTTTCAAATCAACGCTATCATTAGTTTCATTAGAGCATGGTATTTGTGGAATTGTATTAGAAACCGAAGGGATTAATTGATTGGTGATTGGTGTTTGGGAACATCCTTCACCACTTTCATTAGGATTAGGTCTTGGTCTTTTGGTAAGAAAATCACCAAGGGTAACCTACAATTCAACATTAAGCTAAATAACTAATAATTTCACCAAATCATCTAATAGCTTCAATAAAACGTAAAAACATACAAATTACACCAAATCAAAATTGAACTTCAATAAAGACAATAAGACATAAAATTTTATTTCACCAAATCAATCAACAAGTCAATAACATCAATAAAAACATAACAATTTAACAAATTCAAGATAAAAACATAGTAATTTCGATTTCAACCTAAACAAATTGGTAAAATTTCAATTTTCAACAAACTTACTACTTGCTTTCATTCTTAGCTAGGGCTTGAAGTCGAATTGAACAAATAGGAATCGATTTTTGCTACTCAATCAACAAGACACTCAAGAAATTAGAAGGAATTAGCAATGGAACTCATGGAAGCATCAAGCAGCAAGCGAAGTCGTCAAGTGAAGTCGTCGATTGCAAATATGTGCGTCCGTCCCAGTTAGTGTCAATGCTTTTTTTTCTTTTTCTTTTTGTTCTTGTCGATTAATTGTCTCCCATTCTCCCAGTTGGATCAAAAGATCCAATTATCTAAATTCCATTGGTCTATTTAAGTTATTTTTTGGCTAAAATTAA